GGCTGAAATGCTTGGTCATGTGAACATACATCTTAAATATCCACAAGACATTGCCCACAAGTGCGGTTTCGGTTGCTGTCTTTCCTCTGGAATTCCATGAGCTTTTATCGAAGAAAGACCTGAACAAGGATTCGAGATCATGTCGCTTAGCGTGGAATTTCAGTGCGGTCTCGACGTCGACATATTGGACGTTATTGGCGAAGTAGATCCCTCAGCGCGTTAGGTGTAGTTGAGACGGCCTCTCAGTGCCACCAAGACATCATTAAAAGCACAACGCTCTCCAAGCAGAGTCAACCCTGCGTTGCGCAGTTCTCAACGGCCACGTTGCGCAGTTTCGCCCGATTAGACACGTTCTCTCGCGCGAACATTCACACTCGCATGCTCGAGCCGTCTGCGTCTCCGCCCATACAGCGTGCGTTGAGGATCTCTCAACGTGCCGTTGCGAACTGCGCAACGCAGGGTTGACTCTGCTCCAATCGTAGTGATCACTGCGTTAAAGGTGAAGAAGCCTGAAGCTTTGACGGAACACCATACTCATATGTCATGCTAACTTATTTATTGAACATCAGAGTCGAGAAACATTTTGAGAAAAAAAATTGTTAAGGAACTAAACATACAAAATATCAAACCTAGAGAGAATTTAGCGCCTGGGATAAAATGTCAGTATGAAATCCGACAGTGTGAGCAGTTTTAAATGTAAGAATAATTTATTCTTAGATTTTGACCAGTAAATATATAAATGTTTCAGATTAATGCACTTAAGATATAATCAGAACGACAGTAGCTGAGATTAAAGCCAATTTTAGATTCTATCGCATAAGTAAAACATCTACAACATAAAAAGCACAAATTGAGCTAGTTGGCCTGCGCCGTGCTGCAATTAATTATGTCATCATAAATGGTGCGGCTTCCCCTTTACGAGCGCCACTTTATAATACAACATCAATCGAACAAAATTCATTAAACTATGATATATCGGATACGCAAGTGACCAACTTTCCTCCGTCGAATGTCGTTTTGAACTGTTCCGGAATAGGAAATTCCATCTAAACATCACAATAATGAAATACCATAGAATAATATAGCCCGTTTCCGAAAACCAGATGCTCGTCGAGTGCAGACACACAACACAAGTGACGACGGCCTCCACAAAATGTAAATATTTTCTGCCAATGAAATGATAGCCGGTCGCAGCTGTATTGTAAATCTATCATTTACCAGTTACCAGCTACCACAACAGACCACTAGTTATCAGATTTACTTGGTCGGAGTCGTCTTTTGTGGTGTGCGGTCTGCACTCGACACGCATTTGGTTCCAGTGGGTAAAAAAAACTTACGTAATCGCCATCGCTTTTTGGTATGAGCACATTCATTTCGCTAGACTTGCTGGTTACAATTTCAGCATTTTTCGAAGTTTGGCTAAGATAAACTTGACAGCCGTCAGTTTTCTGGATAGAAATTGTCGGCATTTCGCCCAAGGTCTGAAATAGGAACGATCCATAGAGAAGTAGCAAGAAAAGAATAAGAGCATGTGCGAATGTACCTGTATCTCTATGCGCTGACAATTTATAGTTTCGCACTGAGCAACCACCGCGTCGAATACAACCGAAGTCTTGCGACAGCTATCAAGGGTAATTGAATTCAGCTTCCCTTTCACCTGAAATCAACAACACACAAATAATTCAAACTGTAACTGCGCAACAGGCGTCAAGAAAAAGTCGTTACTCAAATGAAAAACTGAAGAAGTGAACAGAAGTGGGCCACCGTGGATGGAGTGAAGGAATGCCTACCGATCAAAATCAGTAAAGAAGAGGTCCAACCACAGACGAGAGTGATCTTAATTGGTCGATCTTCCATGAAAATCTGCAAGGGCCCAAGAGGAAGCATGAGATCAACATGGAAGGTACGGGCACGTGAGGGTCAAATGTTATAGAAAAAAATTCGCCTATC